CAACAAAGGCAAAGCAAAGGCCAAGGTCAAGGAAGGGAAGGTGTCGTCTGTCGTGCAAGTGGTCAAGCATGACGGAGAGAAGGAGGAGGTATCTGGTGGTTCTGAGGAGGTGAGAAAGGGCAAGGGACTTGAGCCTGTCACTCAGTCTCGGGAGGAGGAAAATTTCGTGTCACGGATGCAGTCTTTTATGGCAAGTTTGTCATTCGAAGAAAAACAACGATTTGTTGAGGTGCCCACCAGAGGGGAACGGATTGAGATGCAAAAAGGAGCACGTGCTGCCCCGAGACCTGACGGAAACATGGAGTACCTTTACCATAGAAAGACTTCAGAGCAGTTGCAACAAGAACTCGATGATGAGGGGTTGGCCATGGACATGCGGGAATAGGAGGTGGCAGAAGCGAAAGAAAGAAAATGGATAGAAGAAAGGAAACAAAAAGAGGAGGAGAGAAAGAAAAGAAAAGCGGATTTGCGCCTCGCCCTTGAACCACAAGACAACAACAGCAGTGGGTTTGAGGAGGAAGAGGTAGTATCTCCAATTGAAACCGAAGAAAAGAAGAGGGTAGGAAGCCTTGACAAGGAATGGCCACCCTTGTGGTCGTCTAATCGGTTTGAAGCCTTGCAGTCGCCCACACAGTCAGAGTCTTCGACCCCTTGGGTCACGGTCGCGCGCCAAAAGCCGAGAAAATCACGGGCGCAAGAACATTTCTCGCACCCGCCCCAGCAGGTCCCTTTGACTGAATATCAAAAGGCGGCACGCACGGCAGCAGAGACGCAGGCTAGGTTCTTGGAATCGAGTAACCGGTTGCACCAGGTTCAGGAAGACGCTAGGCTAGCGCGCGCGGCTAGGGAGGTATATGAGAAGGAGAAAGACAGGATTGCGGCTGAATTCGAGGAAAGGCATGGATTTCTTGCGGAGGAGGAAAAAATCGCAGTAGGCCGAGTTCAGTCAGCCGAAAAGGAGGAGGAAGAGGCTAAGGAAAAATTAGATAAAGCCCGAATGGTGTACCAGGTGGCCAAAACGGTAGCAGAAAAAATGCGTGAAGACAAGTACAAAGCTCACGACAATAAGACGGATCACCTCAAAGCGTACACAGCTACCAGGCAGACGATGGACGATACCTGGCAAGGTAAAGAGGCCAGATGTGTTGAAACAGAGCAGGCGGTGAGGGACCAAGAGAGAGTAGTAAGAGGCCTCAGGAAGATAAAAGAGGATGCACTTGAGATGAAAAACAAGCTCGGGGCACAATCGGGGGAGTCCCCACCTCTCAAGCCACTGGCGCCATCCTCATTAAAACAGAGGGATGAAGCAGCCGACCAAAGGAAGGTTGAGAAAAAGCAGACTCTGAACAAGAAAGAGAGGAAGGAGTACCAAATTCCGAAGAAACCGAGCGTGAAGGAGGCTGAACTGATGAAAAGAGTAGCCGAGATCGTCGCGAGCTCGCCTGGTTTAGACACGCGGTCGGTAACTGCCCAAGTCATGGCAGACATGGGAATCGAACAGGAAGACTCTGAGGAAAATTCTGTCGAAGTAAAGGAAGAAGAGGTGGAGCAGAGACCCACAAGGAGAATTATTGGGGGGTCGGGCACTCTCGAAGTTAATTCAGAAGATACTCGGACGATCTTTGGTGCTAGTTCCCCTGGCTCGGTGTCATCTAGCCAAAGCTTTAGTAGCAGCAGGAGCAGGGGTGGCAGAGGGGGTGGAAGGGGAGGAGGCGGAAGAGGAGGAAGGGGAAGGGGAAGGTTCTCTCCGAGGGGCAAAGGAAGGGGGCAAGGACACTTTCAGAAAGGAGGATACAGGGAAAGGAATGAAGGATGGATGGGACAAGGAGGAATGGATGGTGGAATGGGAGGTGGATTGGGAGGTGGATTTGGTGGAGGTGGGTCGGGGGAGTACCCGGTCCAGGGATACCAAGGTGGATACCAGGGAGGTCCGCCCCAAGGAATGATGTACCCTCAAGGACCATTCCACACACCCCAAGGACAGCCGCCGCCGCACTGGCAAAATGGCAGGTATGTCGACAGCTATGGCTATGAATATGGCATTCCGATGTATGCGGCAAAACCAGCAAACCATAGGTACATGGAGGCGAGAGAAATAAACTCTGGTAGGGAACAACCTCCTATGGTGGAAGCAACAAAACTGCCTCCTGTGGTCACTTTCACAAGGGTGGAGTCTCCGAGGGCAGTAGACGCCCCAGTGACAGCAGCGGTCACCCCAGCGGTGATAGACGCGCCTCAAACTGTGCAGCAGAGTGTGACAGAACCATCCTCTGTACCCAACAGCGCAGTGGAGCTAGAGAATTCAACGGAGGCAAAAGAAGAAAGTTCTGATGACGAAAGACTATCAAAGGAACAAGTGACGGCAATCAGACAAAAATATGCCACGTATTCCACAGCTAATCTGATGAGGTTGCCGCTTCTAGCTGGCCAGCGCATGAGTGTTGCTGAAACTGTTTCCTTGTCATCCACTCTGGTTAAAAACGTGGAAGAATTGAGGTTGGGGGCAGGAGATAATTCGAAATCGTCAGATTGGGTGCGAGGATGGGACATCGCACTTGAAAAACATGTATTGAATTCCGTGTCTTCGCGCCTTCCTAACGCGCAGGGGTTAGATCTAAAGGCGAAGATCACCTCGTCCTTCAGCCAAACCAGGCAACAGTTGGATAATGGGATGGCAGGGAGAGAAGCGCTCAACTTTTTGGTGAGGGTGCTAACCCGGACGCTTAGCATGGCGACGCCGCAACATGTGGTGTTTGCTTTGCAGAACTTGGAAGTGGATGCAGGAACACCATTTTCAGAATATATGAATACTTTAAGAGCCTTGGTGCAGAATGCTATGAGTGTCGGCCATGAAAGTGCGCAAGACAATGTGTTGCAGCTAGCAGTGCGTGACAGTGTCTGCGACCAATATAGTAATATCGCGGTGGATGTATTTAAGGGGAGAGACCTGATGGCTGTACCGTATGACAGTATTCGGGACTTAATGGATGCACTAGAAGTTTTGGCATGGAATACGACTGAAGCTACGGCGGTGAAACGAAATGTCATAAGTGTGCAAACAAAAAGGGCGGGACAAGGGGGAGGGAATGCTAGCGCAGGAACGACGTCTTATGCGAGTGCAGCTAGCGCAGGAAGGATGTATGGCAAACAACCCTCTCAGGGGGCAAGAGTGATGAATATTCATGAGGAAATGGAAGATGAAGAAAAAGAATTCAAAAAAGTGCATTATGTGGCAACACAATGGGAAAAAGGGAAGGGTGATGAATCTTACATCCCTTTCTATACGCGGTTTGACAGCCGAAAAGAACAAGATGAGGCAAGACAAGCCTACGGGTTAAAGTGTTTGAACTGCGGCGATCAGTCACACTTCGTGCGAGAGTGCACACACCCTTTCATAAACAAATCGAACATGCTCAACCCGGAATTGGGCCAGGGACCGCCGCAATTGGTCAAAGAAAGATGGTCGAAATGGTTAAAGCGACTAAGAGACTGGCATGAACAGCGTAAAAAACACGGTTGAAGGTGCAACGGTAAGAATTCGGTCGCCTTTCCGGTAGCACGTTGGCCGTTAACCCCACCTTGTTCAGAGAACAGGAAATATGAAGAAAACAAAGGGACTGAGGTCAAGAAGGACGACGTTATTCCAAGACCGAGAGAGTTTCAGGGTATGGACGGACGAGTGAAGCACATCACGAGTCATGATCCGGGGACGGGATGCTATCCGTCAAACAATGGTGAGGGTGGTAACATAGGGGCCTTTGGAATTTTTAACAGTAATGGAAGTAATTACCCCGGAAACTGTGTGGATTCGGAATCTGTGGTACCGTCTACTGAGTCCGTGGCGATGAAAGACGCGTTGACGGAATTGGGCCATTCGGGCAGGAGTAACGAGCGGACTAGCGCCCCGCAAGATATTTCTGGTCTTGGTGGTGTGCAAACATCATCATGTGCAACCTGTTAAAAAAAACAGTCAAACCCTCGTTGGTCGGTCACTGATAACTGTTGCAGGAGAGGTTCAGGACAACCTCCTTCGTTTGGCCAAGCGAAGCCTGAAACCGCATCACCAAATAGCAGTAGCGTCCGGTGTGGTAACAATAAAAGGGGAGTGGAACAAGATACCACAGTGCAGAATCCTCGCGGAAAACACCAAGTTGAATACCCACAGCTTATGGTACCGTAACGACTGTACATAGGGCCAAACAAAAGGAGCCAGCTAGCAGTGAAGAAACCCGTAAAAGTGGGAACATGAAAGCTAACGAAGCGATGGATCGTATACAGAAAANAATAGCAGTAGCGTCCGGTGTGGTAACAATAAAAGGGGAGTGGAACAAGATACCACAGTGCAGAATCCTCGCGGAAAACACCAAGTTGAATACCCACAGCTTATGGTACCGTAACGACTGTACATAGGGCCAAACAAAAGGAGCCAGCTAGCAGTGAAGAAACCCGTAAAAGTGGGAACATGAAAGCTAACGAAGCGATGGATCGTATACAGAAAAGAAGGTCCGAAATGGAAGAACTAAAAACAAAATTGAAGGGCATACAAAAAGAAGGTTCCGAATACGAAGTGGTTGATGCATCCAATCCAAGTAAGGAATCTAAAACTCCCGCAGGATTTGCAGGGAGATGCCTCAAGAATACCGGTGGAGACAAACAGTTGGAGGACATGCGCCACGTAAAAAGTATAAGCGTGTACCCACTGGATCAAAATGATGAGACATCTGACAATACGCCTTTGGTTNCCGCAGAATTTGCAGGGAGATGCCTCAAGAATACCGGTGGAGACAAACAGTTGGAGGACATGCGCCACGTAAAAAGTATAAGCGTGTACCCACTGGATCAAAATGATGAGACATCTGACAATACGCCTTTGGTTTATTCCCCTATGCCGGTTAAAATACCCGCAGGAGAACCAGCAGAGTACTTGTCTCCCTTCACGAGTGCGATAGGGGGGGATGTCACATTAGACGCGCGCCACACCACAAGAGTTCAAGTGTTCGCGGGGGTTCAAGCAACGACGATGCACCTGTGTCAGGCACTATTAGATACCGGAAGTCCGGCGTCGTTCATACAACAAAGGTGTGTGGATTACATGTTGGAGTGTGGGTCAGCGTCACTGGATGGGATTGAGAAGGGAAGAAAACGAAAATGGGGAGGATTCCACGGAAGGCCCTTGATTACCACACAACAAGCGAGGTTAAACGTACAATTGTGGAAAGGGGGAAAACACGCACCCAAGAAGATTGGATCACCTACTGCATGTTTAGCTGTGCTAGCGCATGTGGTCCCGGATGGTGTTATGGACGTGGACGTTTTATTGGGACGAGATAGTTGGTCTCATTTTCCTGTTCGAAAATACAGGGATGTAACGGATGACGAAACAATAGTAACCTTTGAAACAAATGAAGGAAAAGGAGCAGCAGTTGACCAACAATTTGCAAATTGGGTTGACAATGCAGTGGGAATGATCGAGCACGAGGGAAGTGGGAGGGTGGTAGTAAGGTGTGTGGGAAAAAAAAGGTGGTTGCCAAATAAAATGTCATGGGTACAAGTTGAATTGACCAACCCTGACGGCAGTGAAGCGACAGAAGGAACATACCGCGTAAAATTCAAGGATAAATGGTTCCCTCAAGAAGCACTTGTAAGTGCAGGCAAATCGGAAATTCGTTTGAGACGGATGGGGGATGCTGCATTTTTGGTGAAATACAATGACCTGTTGGGTGAGGGTGGTGAACCCTTGGAGGTTGTTAGTATGGACGATGCAAGGCTAATTCCGAATGAAGAATATAAGTTTCACGCGGTAACAAAGTGATGCAACTGACGTGCCTGCGGATGAGCCCCCTGATGATGTTATGGCTGGTTTAAATCCCGCGCAACAGGTGGCATTTCGGCGTCTATGGCAAAAGGTGCCCGCGCATATACGAGATGTTCGCTTCAATTTCAACGCGGAGTTCCGGGAACCCGAAGACATATTAAAGCTAAGTGATCTGTTACGCAAATATGAGCACAGATTTTCAAAGGANCGTCTATGGCAAAAGGTGCCCGCGCATATACGAGATGTTCGCTTCAATTTCAACGCGGAGTTGTGGGAACCCGAAGACATAATAAAGCTAAGTGATCTGTTATGCAAATATGAGCACAGATTTTCAAGGGACGGTACTGATTTGGGACAAGTAAAGGTGGATCCGTTCCGAATTATTTTGAAACCGGGAGCACAGCCGGTGAAACAACGGCCGTTTCGATATTCGCCGATCATAAACGAAAAAGTGCAGGTAAAAATTGACAAACTGCTGTTGGCAGGAGTCTTGCGACGATCCTACAATAATTGGGCAAGTCCCTTGGTCGTGGTCGCAAAAGCTAATGGAGGAGTACGGTTAACGGTGAAATATAAAAAAGTAAACAAAATGAGTGTTATACCGAAACTGCCGATACCAATAGTGGAGGACATTCCGGCGGATCTGAAGTCGGCAAAAAAATTCAGCACTCTGGATTTGATCAGCGGATTTTTCCAGTGTTGTATTGAANGTCGGCAAAAATATTCAGCACTCTGGATTTGATCAGTGGATTTTTCCAGTGTTGTATTGAAGAGGACAGCATCCCGATCACTGCAGTTATTACGGCCACCGGTTTATATGAATTCATGGCTATGCCGCAAGGATTGTCGAGTAGCCCAGGGTGGTTCCATTCAGTCATGCAACGCGTGTGTGATGGGCTGGAGAGGGTGCGATTATTCGTTGATGATGTTATCGTATACTCCCGAAATGATGCAGAACACGTGCAGGATCTGGAGAGGTTTTTCGAGCGTATGACAAAGTTCAATCTGAAGCTAGCGCCGAAGAAAGCACAATTGGGGATGAAGGTGGTGACGTTTTTGGGACACCAAGTAACGGCTGAAGGAATCGAGCCATGTCCGAAGAAGGTGAAGCCCATGTTGCAAATGCCGATGCCAACGAATGTCAGTCAGTTACGGTCAATCTTGGGGAGTCTGTCCTACTATCGGAAATTTTTAAAGGGGATGTCTGCAAAATTGCATTCAGTCACGGCGTTGTTGAAGAAGGATGCAAAATTTGCGTTCACGGCAAAACATGCCGAGGTGATACAAGAAATGAAGGACAAACTATCCAGTCCGGAAGTGTTGGCATTTCCTGATTATGAAGGAGCAATAACAGGGAAAAGAAAGTTTAGGTTAATCACTGATGCGTCCATATCTGGACTTGGGGCAGTTATTGAACAAGAGCAAGAGGATGGCACAGTTCGACCCTTGTGTTATTTGAGCAGGTCAACGTACCCCAATGAAAGGTGGTGGAGTGCAACAGAGTTGGAGTGTGGGGCGATTGTTTGGGTTATCAAGAAAAACCGAACATTGTTTTACGGCATTCCGTTTCAAATATACAGTGATCACCAACCTCTACGCAATTTAGAGAGCTTGGCGGAAAAAAATAACAGGGTTCAAAGGTGGTTTGATTTCCTGTCAGCGTATACATATGAGCTGATTTATCGGCCGGGCAAAAGCAAATGGCAATGCAGATTGTATGTATGTCTCGTTTACGCTTACCGCCGATGGAGGAAGATGCATCGCCCGAAATGCGATTAACTGATCCGTCCGATCTGGATGTGTATATGATAGGTGCAAGCGGAGTGATTCCTGCGAGAATGGGTCCTGTCTTGGGTGGGCGAAAACGCCCGACGCAAGCCGACCCTCGCAAGAATTTTGTGTTGGGGGAAGATGACCATCAGCCGTTCACGACCGATGAAGAGGCAGATAGGACGTGGCAGGTGATTCAGCAGCACAGAGAAACGATGGCTCTAAGGGTGGAGGATGAACCGAAA